GGGGTGCCTAGGTTGTGATCGCAGCGCTGCAGGTAGCCGGGGCATGTGGGGGCTCAGGTCAGGATTGCAGCGCTGCAGGTAGATGGAGCACGTGGGGAGGGGTCTCAGATCTGGATCACAGTGCTGCAGGTAGCCAGGGCCTGTAGGGTAGTGTCTGAGGTCACGATCGCAGCGCTGCAGGTAGATGAGAGGGGGTCTCAGGTTGGAATCAAGGTACTGCAGGTAGTTGGGCCCGTGAAGGGGGGGAGTCTTAGGTTTGGATCATGGCGCAGGTCACCAGGGCGGGGATGGGGGGGCAGTCTCAGGCCAGGGTCCCAATGCTGCAGGTAGCTGGGGCCTATGTGTGTGGGAGGGGTCTCAGGTCCAGATCACAGCACTGCAGGTAGACGAGGCCTGTGGGCGTCTCACACAGGGAACACAGAACTGCAGATACACGGGCTGCATGGACAGGGTCTCACATTTTCTTTGCTCTGGTGGAGCAGAGTTTCTGAAAAGGCTTCATTGGGGGTTCAGTGCCACCCCATTTCCCTTCTACGTGCCCGAAACTCCTTTTCTGGGAAAGGCACTAGTTCTTCATCGCAGGGTCAGGGAAGCTGGAGGTCAGTAAGGCTGCAGGGACTGCTCCTTCATAGGCGCTGGCTGGGTGCTGGGCCTCCGGGGGTTCCTGTGAGGAGGGACACACCGTGAGGCCGGCTATCGCCCGGATGCCCCCGTTACCGCTTCATGAGAGGAATATCTAGTTATCTAGAAGGAAATGCTTAAAACATCCTAGGTTAACCTAGATCCTTGGTCTGAGTCACCTCCAGAGCCCTCCAGAATGTCACGGGTACAACTGTGATGAGTGACAGGTCCCAGGAATACCAGACTCAACTTCTGAACTTGGATCTGTCCTCAGTGTCCTAAAATAGCGATTTTTGTTTTTTCTTTAAATTTTGCCAGAGGGCACATGTGATTGCCAGGGTGTGGGAGGGGTGAGAAAGCACCCCACGGAGTGATCATGCCACACTGTCTTCTCCATCACTCTCCCCCTGTTGGACTCACACACACTAACATGTACCTGGCGTGTGTATCAAGCCGCCAGGTCCGGAATGCAAACTGTGCAGCCAGCCATGGACCCAGCTGCCTAACCACCACGCCACAGGCCAGCCCACTGAACGTTTCTGCTGGTTTGATGTTCTCGTCAGACTGGGAAACTGCCTGACGCTGTTACTAATGCTGCAGACGTGTGTTTGAAACTGAGACTCAGGTTTCCTCTCTCTGTTTCCCCAGACGATTGCATACAGCATCTTATGGGACTTGAAGTTTCTGATGAGGTACGTGTTCTGGTCGGTGAGTCTGAGTATGGGCCTCTCAGCTCCCTAAATACTGTAACTGTCAGTTGGAGGAAACTTTTTTTTTTTTTTTTTTGAGAAGTTTTTATAGGGCGCGTGCACTCGCCAGACAGAGACAGAGAGACAGAAAGTGAGAAATCACCCCCCAGGGGGGATGGCCACGCCACAATCCCTTCTCCTCCATTCTCCTCTCGGGATCTTGGGCATGCACACACATGTGCCCGGCGTGAGTTTTAAGCCACCGGGTCCAGGACGCGAACCGCGGTCGACTACATGGGAGTCCAGCGACATAGCCATTACGCCAACTGCTGGTCCCAGTTGGAGGAAACTTCTTCAGGTCTAAACTGTGCTGTAAAAACTTGCCCACCCCAATTTACAGCCCCTAGAACAGCAGTGAGAATAAAGTCATCTCTCCAGCCCTTATTCCATGGGTGTGGGGACTAAGGGTCTAAGTGGAAGACACTTGCTTACGGGGGACCCAGTCAGTGATCAGGGAGGCCAACTAGGACTTGGTCCCCCATGTCTGGGTGGCCCATCTCCATTCGGCTGTGACACACCTATGTCTTGAGGCCTGTGAGCCCTCAGGTCACCATCATCCTGGAGCATGTGTCCCACGTACCCACGGGCCTGCAGGCCCCTGAAGCAGGAAGGCAGGGCCTTGTGATGCCTGCACCAGGGCCTCGGTGGTCTGGTCTGACAGCACATCAGAGCTCAGCAGACTTCAGCTCCAGGCCGTCTCTGTTCCTCAGGAACCTGGCCCTGGGAGGAGGCTTATTGCTGCTGTTGGCTGAGTCACGCTCTGAAGGCAAGAGCATGTTCGCTGGTGTCCCCACTATGCGCGAGAGCTCCCCCAAACAGTACATGCAGCTTGGTGGCAGGGTCCTGCTGGTTCTGATGTTTATGACGCTCCTTCACTTCGACGCCAGCTTCTTCTCTGTGAGTGTCCCCGCTGACGTGGCCCAGCAGGTCTGGCTTCCTGGCCTTCTGAGAGTGCAGTCCCCACCCTGTCCTGACTGCCCCTCCCGGGTCCTGAGCATAGCCTGGGGAGCTGCTGGGATGAATCACTGCAGAGGCAGCAAACCTTCAGGCAGAAAGGGGGCACGAGGCTGTTAGGCTGTTCCATCCCAGCAGGTGAGGTCCAGAGTCCCTGTCCTCTCAGGGGTCCTGGTGCCTAGCACACCACTCCCGGGGCTGTCAGCCCAGGTCTCCACACTTCGTGTCCTGCTAAGTTCTTGCCTGCAAGCCATTGGGGCGGTGTTCTCCAGCAGTCTAGAGTATGTCCGAAGAGCTGTCCCACAGCCCTGGCCAAGCAGGGTGCCTAGGAGCACTCCTTGCATCTTGAGGAAGAGGGGAGAGGGCGTCCCTACCTTGGGCCTAGGCCAGACCAGGAAGCACTGGGAGGGTAGTTGTGCCTTAGAGAGCCACAGGCCGGCACTTGGGTTTCTCTGAATTACAGCCTGTAGACTTTGAATTTTCCTCTCAAAGTTGTTGCTCTGTCTGTTGCTGCCCTTGACTCCCCACTTGTCATTTCCTCCTCTGAAATGCCATCTCTTGGCAGTGGGTGCAGGAAGACACTGCAGTGGGGCAGCCCCAGAACCCCTAGTATGAGACATGAAGAGGCTTCCCTCCTCAGAGCAATCCTAAATCCCACTTCGTGCCGCATCTGCCCTTCCCATGCAGGTTGTCCAGAACATTGTGGGCACGGCACTCATGGTCTTGGTGGCCATTGGCTTTAAGACCAAGCTGGCGGCCCTGACCCTGGTCGTCTGGCTGTTCGCCATCAACGTGTACTTCAACGCCTTCTGGACCATCCCTGTGTACAAGCCTATGCACGATTTCCTCAAGTACGACTTCTTCCAGACCATGTCGGTCATCGGAGGCCTGCTGCTGGTGGTGGCCCTGGGCCCTGGCGGTGTCTCCATGGATGAGAAGAAGAAGGAGTGGTAACGGCAGAGAGCCTGCCCGAGCTGGCCACAGCTGGTGAGGCCCGGCTCTGGATGGATCCCACAAAACTGCCAGCGTTTATGTGTCCTCCTCCCTCCCTTCCCTGGTAAAGGCACAGATGTTTTGAGAACTTTATTTGCAGAGACACCTGGACATCGACGGCTCTGGAACCATAGCTGTCCCCCAGTCTGACTATTTGGCGCAGGCTGGCCCGACCGGCAGCCTCCCCTCCCCCCCAAGGCTCTGGAGTGAGCAGCTTGGTTGCTCGCAGCCCTCTTAGTCCTGTTTTAAGTTCCCTGGGGGGCTGGGCATGAGGTGGAAGCAGGCCTTCAAGCTGTACTGTAAGCAGACACTTGGTGTCCCGTTCACAGCAGGCTCCCTCTTCATTTTTAAAGGTTTACATTTTAACTCAAAACTACTAAATGATTTTGGATGGCCTGGCCAACACCAAACACACTGTTCCACTCCCTGGTTTAAAATCGTACTGGTGGTTTCAAGGTCATTTCTGCCCCTGCATTGTAATACTCTATAGAACAGTGAGAGCACGTGGGGACCCCGAACCCAAAGAACGACAGACACAGTATTAGGGGGTGGCTGGAGCTGTTCATGGTCAAAGTCACTAATCAAAAAACCAACTTGGATTGGGGCTCAGTTTTTATTGGGTAATACCTGGGAACTCAGGGAGGGGCTGGAAGTCCTGGGGAAGCTGCTGCCGCCCAGAGCCTAGCACTGGGCAGGCCGGTGAAGGAGGGCATGCTGGCAGCTGACAGCGGCACCCCACACCCAGGCGTGGGTGG